TCTTTGTAGTTCTGGCTATACTCAAACTCAGGGATCTGCCTGTCTCTGCCTCCCAAGTGCTGGGATTAAAAGTTGCCACGCGTAGCTTTTTGAAACAAGGTCACTATGTAACCCTGGCTGCCTAGAACGCACTGTATAGACTAGATTGGCCTTGAACACATCTACCTGCCTCTACCTCCCACTGGGATCAAAGTCATGTGCCACCACGCCTGGCCCCACAATGATTGCTCTTATTATCAATGCATTATATGCTTTAAAATGACTAAAATGATTGTAAACACATCTGAGACATTGATTTCCTACGTTATTTTGATTTAAGAATTTATGAGAGATAGACATAGTGGTACATGACTTTAATCCCAAATTTTAAGAGGTAGAGACAGGCAGATGTATTAAGTTAGAGGCCAGCCTGGTCTACGGAGTGAGTTCCAGGACAGCCAGAGAAAACTCTGTCTCAGGAAAAAGAAAAAAAAAGAATTTATGAAGTTAATCTAATAGGAGAATCCTAAGAAATAACTATTCACATTCTTAGATACTAACATACTGTATATTTTCCTATTCTATTAAAGGACATTGCCCTAAAAACAAAAGAAATCTTCACCCACCTGGCACCATTCTCAGAAGTGTCAGATGATGGGGGAAAGGTCATCCTCAATGTTGAGGCGCTGAAGCAGAAGCGATTCCCACCCGCAACAGAAAACTTCCTGTATCATCTAGCAGCAGCCGAACAAATGCTGAAGATCTGACTGTTCACAACATCTTGCTGCAGCCTCTACAGAGCTTCCCTTTTAATCCTAGTACCCATTTACATTATACAGTATTATAGGAATGTTCTATTTTTAATGATTTATTTCTAAATAGTGAGATCTTAAGTGAGAGCACATAAAAAAACAACTGTGATATTTTTCCCTGCCATTTGACACAGTGCTGGACAGTGTTTTAATTTTAATTTCTGTCCTAATGGTAGGAGCCACATAGATCAGCACATGCAAGTCTTCATTGTTCATTCCTGTTTAGACTCACTGTAGCCATAAACTTAACGGTTTGTTTTCAGAAAGCTGCCTCAAAAATTTGCTTTTTATTATTCTAGAAAAAAACTTGAATTCCTCATGAGAGATTTTACTTTTTGAGCCTAACTTCTATGTTTTCTGCAGAATTGTCTAGAAGGTCATTCAAGAGATACTGCAGTTGTACTTTCTTGTAAAAGAAAATGTTTTGGGGCCTTTGAAATTTTTGCCTATGTTATGAGGGTTTTTCATAAATTTTTATACTTGAGTAGACAATTCCAATAACCCTTATACTACTCTAGATATAAGCATTCAACAAACATCAGTCATTATTACTCTTGGACTAACTGCTTCTAGCAGTGTCTTTGAAAAAGAGGACAGTTCCCAACAAAGAAACCCCTTTAAAATGTAAACATGTATAAGAAAAAAATATCTTGGTTGTTTTTGCTTACAGTGCTGGAGCTAGAACCTGGGGCCTTGCATATGTCAGGCATTGCTTTCCCATCAAACTAAACCCCCAGCTCAATAATGCTTTCATATATTGGAAAAGGAACATGAGATCAAATTGCAGAGGCCAAAACTAGACAGTGTCTTCAAGTGACTGCAGTAAAGGAATTTGGCCATATCTTCAAGGACACTGATATTAGTCTCTCTTAATTTGAGATCTTAAAATTGCCAAATAAGCACAAATGTCTCAATTATGCATTCCTTATGTCTACTCACATTAATTATGAAAGGCCACCATCCTTCAGTATAATTGCAAAGCATTCAAACCTTACCAGGAAATATGTTTGCAAAAACTTATGTAAGTTGGGGTTTTTTTTAGCCTTATTGTTAGACATTTAAGTAAAAATAAAAAATAGTCTTTCTCTTTTGTCCTTGAGTGGAAACAGGGAGAACTTGACATATGTTGTTTACTGGAGCTAACAACTGAAGATTAAATTTGCACTTTATAAAAAGAACTACTAATGTCTTTTCATTTTCTCCCTTATCTTGCAGTACTGTTAAAATTACAAACATGACACAATAGAAACATTTTGATAAAGCTTTAAGTAGTAGTAAGACAGTCTTCCATATGGAGGCTTTGCCCATCTTGTGGTTTCTTTTTTTTGTTTTGTTTTGTTTTGTTTTGTTTTTTGAGACAGGGTTTCTCTGTATAGCCTGGGCTGTCCTGGAACTCACTCTGTAGACCAGGCTGGCCTCAAACTCAGAAATCTGCCTGCCTCTGCCTCTCAAGTGCTGGGATTAAAGGTGTGCACCACCACCGCCCGGCATTTTTTTTTTTTCCTATCTTGTGGTTTCTTGATTTATGTGTATGAGTATTTTGCCTCCATGTATGTACATGCACCACTTGTATATCTAGTGCTCATGGCAGTCAGAAGGCACTGGCTTTCCTGGGGCTGGAATTATAGATGGTTATGAACCACTATGTGAGTGCCAGGAACCAAACCTTGGTCCTCTGCAAGGATAAGTGTTCTTAACTGCTCTGGCATCTCTCTAGCTTCTACCTTTTATTTTTTGAGGCAAGATCTCACTATATAGTTCTGTCTGTTCTGGAACTTGCTACATAGACCAAGCTGGCCTCAAACTCATAGAGATATGCCTGCTTCCTGGGTGTTGGGATTGTAGATATGGCCGCTATACATTCCTTATTATCCTGATCTTGTCAACACACATATTTTTAAAAACTTATTTGTATATATGTGTGTCTTTGTATATGTCACATGTTTGGGTGCTGGATCCTCCTGGAGCTGGAGTGATAGGCAGTTGACAGCAGGCTACATGGGTGCTAGGAAATGAATTCACCACCTCTGGAAGAACAGCAAGCACACTTAAATGCTGAGTCATTATTCTAGGCCATGGTTCTCTACCTTTAATTCTGTGTAGTGTTCACCTATAGCTGCACTGAGCCACTTGGTAGGTCATTTTTTTCTAATTTTGTCTCTTTGGGCTGCTGTGATACTTTTTTAAAATCAAATTTTGAAGTAACTGTCCTGTAGACAGGAATGAGTTTAATGTGAAAATATCACCGCAGTAACCAAATATGTGTGCATCTTCTCTAAAGACAGTCTGCTAGGAAATACGACCGGGCAACAGGTCTTGAAGTAGTATGGCCACAAGAGAAATGGGATGCTATGGAAGCCAGTGGAAGGGGTACCTCACTCAATACTGTGAGTTCTCTAGGCCTCCAGAGAAGGAACAGCTTCTGTAAAAAGAAAAAACAGAAAAGCTCACAAACTCATATGAGGAACCAGATGTTAGGTTCTGCATGACATAGAAGGGGATGACAAGAGATGAATAAGATAGAGGTTTTCTAAGTGTGTTAAGGATCAGAATTTGGTCTCTAAACACAAGCAGGAAGTTTCAGAGAGCAGCCAGAGCAGGCCAAAAAGCCACAAGGCAATGCCATCAGGGGGTACTGTTGCACTAAGCTGAAGTAGCACCTGAAGCCTTGTGGTCTGTTTGTTTTTGTTTTGTGTTTTCGAGACAGGGTTTCTCTGTGTAGCCCTGGTTGTTCTGGAACTCACTCTGTAGACCAGGTTGGCCTCAAACTCAGAAATCCACCTGCCTCTGCCTCCCAAGTGCCGGGATTAAAGGCGTGTACCACCACTGCCCGGCCCAAGCCTTGGGTTCTTAACACATGAAATTATGCCTGTCTGGGGTAAAGGGTTGAGTGACATAGCTGGGTAAATTATGTCACCATTACCCAAGATTAGTAGGGAGCTGAGATAAGGCATGGTTGAGTCCTGTGGATCATCCAAAGAGCCAAGTACATTGTAGCAACTGGTTGGGGTCTGAGGGGCTGACAGAATGGTAGTTCAGCCTTGGATGGGGCTTGGGTGATAGCCATCTCAGCAGAATATAGGCTGTGACCAACACAGAGAAACCCTGTCTTGAAGAAGGGACTGGAGAGGAAGGAGGAAGAATCAGAAGAAGAAAAGAAAGGAAGAAGACATTTTGACTAGGAAGTATTTTTGTTTTGTTTTTGTTTTTTGATAAGGCAGTTTCAATGTTCCTGGAAGTAGCCTACAGAAAGGGAAATGAGCCCCAGTGACTACAGAGCAAGGCTCAGAGGAAGGGAGATGGGGATCCCTAAGAGAGTTGACTGTATATAGTCCTGGACTGGTGTTGAACACAAAGCTGTTGCTGGCTAGGGGCCTTGGTTATTCTAGAAATAGAAGTATCATGGTCCTGTCAAACAGAAACCAGGGAAGCAGAAAGAATGCAGCATGGAATAAGATGAAGTAAGTAGGGAAATAGGATTACTTTAGGGACTAGAAGCCTTAATGAGCTCACAAGAGCTTTGTGTCTATCTGGAGGCTATCAGTGTAGTGTTTGTGTCCCAGATAAGGTATACCGTTAGACGATTTTTTTCAAGTACTCAACTTCAGACAGGTTTATTCACAGGTACACATTATCCTTTCCTGGGCCGACTCTTACTTCATCCACAGTTCTCTCAGCAGTCCCCTGGGTGCTGCTCTTCTTTCAGTCAGACTCAGAGCCCCAAGTACAGTAGGCACTGAAGCCAGCTTGCTGTACAAGTGTTGCTGGGAACCCTGAGGACCAAGACAGTGCTCTCTGAACAAACCTTGAGGGGCCAAAGATTTATAAATAAGAGATAAACTTGCTCCTATACTCCTCTGTAATAGAAGAGTTCCTTTTCTTCTGTAGAAGACTGAATCTTCTCTTCAAGCTGACTGCACTGGATCTGAAAGACAAACATTCTTCAAAATTCATGCTTAACTGCCTCAAGCCAAGTTTTAAAAAATTCTGAAAGCACCCATTTATCATTTCCAATGATATCTAATTGATTGCCAGAAGTACCATTTCTTTTTTTTTTTTTTTTTTTTTTTTTTTTTTTTTTTGGTTTTTTCGAGACAGGGTTTCTCTGTGTAGCCCTGGCTGTCCTGGAACTCACTCTGTAGACCAGGCTGGCCTCGAACTCTCGAACTCAGAGATCCACCTGCCTCTGCCTCCCAAGTGCTGGGATTAAAGGCGTGCGCCACCACCGCCCGGCTCAGAAGTACCATTTCTTAGAACTTTTTAAATTAAAAATTTCAAATATAAACAAAGGGAATATAATAAGCTCTTGTACAGTCATCACTCAGCAATAGCTACAAAGAATGTGCTGATTTGATTTCCTAGAGCACTTGTCACATCCGTAAGTGTCCATAAGTGTAGTGTGAGTTCCTTCTTTTTTTGCTTTTTGGGACAGCATCTTGATGTGTAGGCCAGGATGATCTAGAACTTACAGTCTATTCCTGCATCAGCCTCTAGAATGCTGGGAATACAAGAATACACCTGGTTCCTTTCATTATTTCACCTACAAATTTTCCACTACAAATATTACAGATGATAAAGTCTGGTACCGTGTACACAGGAAGGAGAGTTATCACATCTAGCAAATGTTAACAGTGGACTCCTAACAGCCAATGTCCATTTCTAGTCTTGCAAGGTTGGATGCACTGATTAACTGAGACAAGCAGAAGAGCTCTAAAGGGACAGGCTCCCTTTTCAGGATCCTTGAAGTTCTAGAAATGTACTACAGGGATATCTGAGGAGACGCTGGATCCCTCCCAGCCTTAGGATGACCAGTCAAGGCCAGATATACCATTAGTACAAGACTGCCACTAGAGCATCTCCACCACTCACTTAGAGCCAACAAGCACTTACCTTCAAGGTCTGGTGAATCTTTGGGGCAATACAGATACAGATCCTACTTCCTGCCCCTGCTCTGACCTCTGAGATTCAGCCTCTATGTCTTCAAGACTACTGTCTGCTTCCTCAGCCTGGTGATGCAGTGCTAACTTTGGTCTCAGCATCCTGACAGTCATATGGGGTCATGCTGTCCACTTCTCCCTCCTGTTCTTCCACTGGGAACTCGTTCTTTTAGTTCCATCTCTGCCTGTGCAATCTCAGCCATTTCCAGAGGCTCCCTTCTCCAGGAACCTTTCTTGGTTCTAGCCCCTCTGTTCGTTTATTATCTATCACGAAACAGTAATTTCCACATGTTATATTACCTTTCCTGCATGACAGATCCTATCATTGATCTCAAGGTCTGTCCTCTCTCACATCTCCAGAGGCCTTTTTGTTGTTATTAAATTTGTGTCCATTTATTTTATTTTTGTGTGTTTATGTGTGTACATATTTGTGGGTGTATATGTCATGGTACAGGTATAGAGGATAACCATCAGGACTCAGTTTTCTCCTTATGTCATGTGGGTCTCAGGGAATGAAATCAGGTCTCTAGGCTTAGTGGTAAGCACTTTTATCTAGTAAGCCTTCTCGATGGCCCATGAGCTGAGTTTTAAACAGGCACAGAACACAACTCTAAAGCAGTAATTCTTGGCACAGACACTGTCTTCAACTTCCTTCAATAGACAAGGAAACTGAGAAAACTGACCAACATGATAGAGGAGCTAGGAATTTTAACATAGAAAACATAAATATTTTGTATTGCTCTACACAATGAATTATCTATGGAACCATATTCCCTAATACATCATCCATAAGCTAGCTACATGTGAGTACATACATTAAAATCAGAAGGTTTGTGGGCTAGAAGGATAGCTCAGTAGTAGAGCACCTGTCTAACATATACAAGGCCCTAGGTACAGTTTCCAGCACTGAAGAATAGTAATAAAAGTTAGTGTCTTAGTCACACACTAAGGACTCAGCAGCCACATGTGACCAGTGTTTGCCATACTGAGACAGCACACAGTACTGCATCACTGCAGAAAGACCCACTGCATAAAGCATGACTACACAGCTTTAGAGAGAATCTAAAAGCTCTTGAGTGTCTTTCAAAGATTTGTTTGTTTGTTGATTGGTTGATTTATTCATGATCTTTGGAAGAAGGTCTCATGCAGCCCAGGCTGACCTCAAACTCACTATAATGAAGGATAACTTTGGGCTTCTGATTTTCCTGCTTTTACCTCCAAAGCCCTGGGATTACAGGTATATGCTACCATGCATAGCTTATATGGTGCTGGGGATCAAACACAGGGCCTTGTGATGCTAGGAAAGCACTTTACTAGCTGTGCTACATCCTCAGCTCAAAGTTTTTAGTTTGGTTTTTCAGTATTTATTTTGTATGTATGGGTATTTTGCTTGTATATATGCCTGTGTACCATGTGCATGCACTGTCTATGGAGGTTAGAAGATGTGTGATTGCACTGAAACTGGAGTTACAGATGGCTGTGAGCCAACATATAAGTGCTGTGATCCAGACCTGGGACCTCTGCAAGAACAGAAAGTGGTCTTAATTGCTGAGGCAATCTCTCCAGTCCCAGTTTTTAGTTTCTGAAACAAGGACTTGTTATGAAGGCTAAGCTAGCCATAAACTGAAAATCCTCTATATCAACCTCCTGAGTGTTAGGATTACAGGTTGTAATCCTAACTGGCTGCCTGGTAGCTATCATGTGGCTGCTGGGAACTAAATCAAAGACCACAGCAAGCGCAGTAAATCTTCTACTATTATTATTGTTGTTGTTGATCAAGACAGGGTTTCTCTGTGTAGCATTGGCTGTCCTGGAACTCGCTCTGTAGACCAGGCTGACCTTATGGGTCATCACTAAAGCCCCAACTTTGTATTTTTTTTTTAATAAAATTACTTCTTTTTCGTTTGTTTGTTTTTGTTTTGAGACAGGATTTCTCTGTGTAGCCCTGGAACTTGCTTTGTAGATCAAACTCATAGATTCCACTGCCTTTGGCTCCTGAGGGCTGGGATTAAAGGTGTGCACCACTACAATCTAAATTATTTCTAAAATTATCTAAAATTATTTCTTTTATTCCTATAAACATGAACTAAAAACCCAATTTCTCATCTGCGGGGAAGCTGTGGGGTTCTTACCTGTCCAATTTGTGGAAACATGCTGAATGACACTGGCACCATCAGTCCCATCATAAAGAATGTAGAACTCATTCTCAAGATCGCTAATGACAGCAGAGTTTGTGGGTAAAACCTCGATCTGTAAGAGACAAGGTACAGCTCACACACAGAGCTCAAAACTTTTGGCCTCTTCTGAAGCAGGCCTTTTGTTTCAGTGGTGGCTGATTTGGACCAGCATGTAGTTACAGGTATATGCCTAGATCACTGCACAACCACCTACCAGAGGCTCTAAAAGGTACATGGACTGAGCTCTGGGTGAGGTTTATTTACTCAGGGAATGGGGCATTGACCAGTTAGAGCAACTTGTTTAATCTCCAGAGCCTGAAGTAATAGTTCAGATTCTAGTGCATATGACTCAAATCGTATTACGTGATAGGCTTTTGTTTGGTTGTAGTTTTGTTTTGAGCTGAAGTTTCTCCTGTATCCCTGGCTGTTGTGGAACCTGCTCTGTAGGCTGGCTTTGAACTCAGAGATCTGCTTCCCTTTCTCCTGAATCCTGGCATTAAAGATGTGTGCCACCACTGCCTGGTTGTGTGGTATTTAAAGAATGGAAGCAGCAGTATAGTGTTATGCATAGCATTCTAGCCTGGGGAGTCAGACCCCCAAGGCCAGATGAATGATGTGTGCCATTTTATTGACAGAGCATGTGTCCAATGGGACTCCACTTGTCCTTTATACTCCTTGGATTTTCTGGGTTTTGTTTGTTTGTGTTGAGGTTCAAAAAGCAGAAATTGAGATAGAAAGTCTCCAAGATGCTCTATTGTGGATATCATCTGCAGTCCTTGGTTCTGAGGCACTGGTTCTGTGAGATAGATCATCTAATGGTTCTGACCTTCAGACTTCACACCATTCCCCGGAAACAAATGCCACTTTAACCCTACAAAAATCTTGTATATCATTCATGGTTAACAAGCATTGCAGCTAACAAGCTATGGGGTTGAGTATGGCCAGAACAGCCCAGGAAGATCCCAACTAAGCAAGTCTCTGCATCTATCTGGCTAGTTCATCTGTGGGAAGGGACAGCTGGCTCTGCCCAGGGTATTTCCTTATTTCCAAAAATGTGCCCCACATGGGGTGCTAGATGGGCTTTTTAGACTTGCCATGGGGAACTGAGTGACTATCATGTGCCCACAGAAAGTTCTTCATCTGAATGAAGAGAGATCTGCTTAAGTTTTACTCTATGGCTCTCTGATGGGGAGGCTATGAGGTGACTGGGGGTTGTCAGCAGCTATGTCTCTTTTCACTTTGGCAGAAGACTTCCACCAACACCACAGGGCTAAAGAAAAAGGAAACATCCAGCAGAGGTATTTCAGGCTCAGTGCTATAGACTACTCCTGCCTGTGCCAGATATCTATCTCTGTAACTGCAGGCTGAGTTTATCAATTGGCAACCACAGGAGCCCTGACAGACCCCATGATCTCTGCCTACAGCAGTATCTTGTTTATTTATGAGATAGGCTGGCCTAAATCCAGTATGTAGTCCAGTGTAACCTTGAATTCGTCATCCTCCTGCCTCCACTGTCCAAGTACAAGGATTATAATATGTACCACTATGCCATTTGTGAGGTGCCTGGGATCATATCCAGGGCTTTGTGTAGACTAGATAAACACTCTACCCATATTTCTTCAGCCCTAGCCCTATATCATGTCAGTCTACTGGATCTGGAGCAATTTGAACCTATTATAAGGTACACTAGTGTTTATATCAGAGTTGGGAGAACCTGAAGATCACCCTTTTATACTCTACCTATAGTCAGAAATAGCTCATGGTCATGTCAAGAGACAGTTAACCAAGAGGAAAGCTTAGGCTCCAGGTTCAGGCAAACAACTGTTCTAAATTCCTCTCCTCCCTAATAGATTCTTACTGGTTTGTCTTATAGGAAGGCTATAATGGCCCTCATGCCCGCTCCTCCCACTAGATTTGTATTAGGTGAATTTATAAGGGCTTTGATTTGTTTATTTCTTTTCTGTTTTTCTTTTTTAGATGGGGTTCAACCACATAGGGAAAGGGCCCTCTTACCTTTTTAAAATGTGGATAAAGAGTTCAGGGGCCAAGGCTGAGGTACCAAACAGCACTGCTCTGGATTTTGCTGTTTCTTTAATAGCCTGGTAGAAAGGCCAAGGGGATAGCTTAGTACAGGGAGAGAGACAATATCCAGGGCCCACATTAGAGAATAGCATAAACAGCTCCTTTTTAACTGGGAAAGAGGTGGAGCTGACATTTTATGGGGGTCTGTCAGGGTCGGGGAAAGGTGCTCACAAGATAGCTGGGCTGGTGCTAAGAGTAACTGAGGAGGGATTTCACCTTCTTGGCCCCATTGTGGTCCCCATCAACCCATTGAAACATCCCCAGTAAACCATCAAAAGTACATACCAAGGCAGCATCTAGACAACACCTCACCTAGAATGAACTAAACTAGCAGCCTCCAAAAGCAATTCAGGATTTGCCCTGAATTTGGCTCATATTGCCTTTCAACCTTACCTTTGCCCCTAGCCTCCTACCCTAACCCTTTTACCAGTGGTTCCTATCCTATCACTGGGGAACCTCCCTAAAGCCAGTTTTGAGTACACAGGGCTACTCTCCAGGCAAGGATAATTGTCTACACCAAGCTATCACCTGTGTGCACCTAGACATGCATTTCAAGTCTGCAGTATTTTGTGGGGGCTAGAGTGGGAGCTCAGATGTTAAAAGCACTTGGCTGTTCTTACAGAGCTGAGTTCAGATCTAAGCATCCATGTCAGGTACTTCACAACCACCTGAAACTTCAGCTTGGGTGAGCATACGTGCTCCCACCCATCCATGACACATACAGACAGAGAATAAACTCATACAGACACATTCATATAAATAAAAACACAACATTTTTAGGGTCTGGAGGGATGGCTCAATCATTAAGAGCAGTTGTAGCTCTTGCAGAGATCCTTGATTTTGTTCCCAGCACTCATATAGTGACTCACAACTAACAGTAACTCCAGCTGCAGGGAACCAGTGCTTTCTTCTGTCTCCTTTGGACACCAGGCATGCACAAGGTTAATACAGTTGATCAAAAGGAGAGAATAAGTGACTGTGGAGTGCACGGCCCCAAATGAGGCACATATAACACAATCCTTACATCCAAGGCTCAGAGAACATCACAGAAGAAGGGTAAGAAAGACTGTAAAACCCACAGGATCTGGAAGAATGCACCAAGTTGTGTCTTCTGAGCATGACAGGGATGTTACACCTGAGCTCTCAGGAGTATGACTGCCTGCACAAACAGGCAGTTAGTGCTCCAGCATGGATAAAGGTAAGAGCTCACACTGTTTCACTCCTAGCTGAAGAACTAAAGGCAGGCAACAACTGCTGAGGGAGGGAGAATCAACTTTCTTTAGAGCCGCCAACAGATTGCCCATATTTTTTTTTTTGTTTTTTGTTTTTTTGTTTGTTTGTTTTTGTTTTCGAGACAGGGTTTCTCTGTATAGCCCTGGCTGCCCTGGAACTCACTCTGTAGACCAGGCTGGCCTTGAACTCAGAAATCCGCCTGCCTCTGCCTTCCAAGTGCTGGGATTAAAGGCGTGCGCCACCACTGCCTGGCGAGATTGCCCATATATAAAGTCACAGTTACACATATACACACAAGAAGGGGAGAGGAGAGTGAGACAGCTCAGCAGATAAAGGCATTGCTGCCAAACTTGATGACCTGAGTTTGATCCCTAGGATCTACATGTGGAAGAAAAAAAATTTAATTCCCAATTCATATACATACCACTTGAGGCTGCACAAATATACGCCAGTGGGCTCACATGGGGGTTCTCTCTCTCTAGTACACTGGAGTTCAGAATTGAATACAGGCTGCTAAGCATAGGCTGTTTCTATACTGGTGGGATAGGGCAGCCACTCTCTTATCAGCCCAAGCATAAAGGGAACATTCCAGAAGGACACTTGTTAGCAGGACACACTCACTCTGTTGGCAGATGAGTGGCTTCCAAGCCAATGGGAGAAATCCACACTATCTAACCTGAAATTTGATCCAAGGTGCCTGATTATAATCAGATACCTCTGGTTACGAAGTTCTGAAAGCTTAGCCAAGGAAAATAAACACGTTTCAATGACGGAAACCATAAAAAATCGCATATGCTTACGCACAGTTGTGAACATTTTATTCCTAAGAGAAAGAAAAAGGTTCTCTTTAAAGCAGACAATCACATTTTTTTTCACCCTAAACTGATCATCCTGAAGAAATGCAGTTTGTGCTGGTTGAGATGGCCTGAAGACATTTCTAGCCCCCGAGGATCATAAGGAGCTCAAGGTTGGGCTTAGATTGACCTTGGAAATACTGAGCCTACCACAGGCTGGCACATAGGAGGAGCTAAGCAACAGAATGATTAAAATCATGGTTTTTCCACACTTTCCAGCTTTATAAATACTTCATGAACTTTATAAATACTGATAACTGAAAGTGAAAACTGAGTCAAAAAGAAATGCAAATATATCCTCACAAACAACTGCTGTCAGTCATGGTTTGGAGCATTTTTATTCCTAAGAGCCCAAACACCCATTTCCTGGAGGGTTAATATAGATGGAAAATGTGGGCCATCCAACATCGGACTACTAAACAATGAGAAGTTGATTTTTTTGTTTTTGTTTTTCGAGACAGGGTTTCTCTGTGTAGCCCTGGCTGTCCTGGAACTCACTCTGTAGACCAGGCTGGCCTCAAACTCAGAAATCCACCTGCCTCTGCCTCCCAAGTGCTGGGATTAAAGGCGAGAAGTTAATGTTAATCTCACACTACATAGCAAGTATGAGGCCAACCTAGGCTATATGAGATCTGTCTCAAAACAATGAAAACAGTAAAAGTGGAACACTGACTGACATATGGTAGGAAATGGATTAGCTACAGAAGTGAAAGAGGTCAGACAACTACTACTATGTGATTCATTTATTAAAAAATAGCAAACTGTGGAAGACACATACAGATTGTTGTCCTCTCAGGTTAGGGGAACTGACAGAAGGAAAAGTTTTAGGGTTAGAAATACTCCACAATCAGTTGGGCAGTGGTGGTACATGCCTTTAAGCCTTGGTCATGTTGTTCCTTCACAGCAATGGAACCATAACCAAGACAAAGCTACTTCCATGACAGCCAGGGCTACACAAAGAAACCCAGTCTTGAACTGACCCACCCCCCCCTTAAAAAAAAAGAAAATAACAACTCTGTTTTACATATATTTATTGTATGTGGCTACATAGGCCTGTGCATGGAGGTCAGAGGACAGCTTGCCAAGAATTGGTTCTCTCATTTCACCACATGGGGTCTGGGGATAGATCACTGGTCCTCAGTCTTAGTAGCAAATATCCTAACCTGCCCACATTAAAAACCTTCCCCTGATGAAATATTATTTTTATTAGGAAGACGGGGTTTTATAATGTAGTTTAGGCTGCTCTAGAACATGCTGTACAGCTTTAAAGGTTAACTTTAAATTTGTAACCCTCCTGTTTCAGACTATGGAGTGCTGGGATTATAGCCATGAGCTACCACACCTGGCTAAACATTTATCATTTTATTATTTTTATTTTTTAAATGTATTTATTTTATGTACATTGTAGCTGTCTTCATATATACCAGAAGACGGCATAGGATCGATCCCATTACAGATGGTCACGAGCCACCAAGTGGCTGATGAGAATTGAACTCAGGGCCTCTGGAAGAGCAGTCAGTGCTCTTAACTACTGAGCCATCACTCCAGCCCAACATTTATTATTTTAAATGTACAAAGCTGAGTGTGGAGGCTTATGCCTATAAACTCAGTGCTGTGGAGGTGGAAGCATGAGGATTACTTTGAGTTCAAGTTAGCTAGACTACAAAGTGATATCCTGTCTCAAAACACCAAAATAAATTAAGTCCGAACTCCAGCTGGGAGGTGGTGGCACATTCCTTTAACCCCAGTACTTAGGAGGCAGTGGCAGATAGATCTCTTGACTTTGAGGCCAGCCTGGTTTACACAGTGAGTTCTAGGACATTTCAGACTACACAGAGAAACCTTGTCTCGAAAAACAAAACAAACAAAAACAACAATAACCACAACAAAAAACTAGCCAGAGCTGTACTGAGAAACTCTGTCTATAAAAACAAAACTGAAAGGCCCCCAGGGAGGCGAGACCCCAACTCAAGCCACAAGAGAGCACGGCCACCCAAATGACTCACGAGAGTGCACGGAGGCTGAGTCCCGTAACCCACCCACGCAGGGACAGAGGAGCTTGACCCCTAGCGAGGGGAGTGTAGGATATTTAAAGGAGAAAACTACAAACCAGAAAGGGAGGGAGGTCGCTGGAAAACTCCAGCAGACAACACAACAGAAAGTCCCAACTCATTATTCAGTCTATACAATTCAGCATATGACAAGTGTAACAGAGTTCAAGAAACGGTCACAGCAGGGGGGAAACATCCTGTTCATAAGGACTCAACCTTATTCAACCGTATCATCTACCATCTATCTTGTAGTCAGACAGGTTTCTGGAACACAAAGCCCCAGAGCTAGCTGACCTGCTCTCCCGGCTCTATTTTACAGCTAGACTGTTAGAAGTGAAATTTCTATTAACCCTTTAAAACAACAAAACAAAATAAAAAATAAATAGATAAAGAAAGAAGGTCCATACTTCAATGAAAGGCTCTCCTAGAAAAGAATCCTACTGGATTCTTACAGAAACCACTGTGCTGAATTGAGCATAGGAACAAAAGTATTCAACAGTAAAAAAAAAATATTAAAAACAGAGGCTTTTGTATGAGCTTATTTTAGATCAGAGCACTGGATATCCCTAGTCTGTTCTTTACAAAGAATTGTAAGGCCGGGCGGTGGTGGCGCACGCCTTTAATCCCAGCACTTGGGAGGCAGAGGCAGGTGGATTTCTGAGTTCCAGGCCAGCTTGGTCTACAGAGTGAGTTCCATGACATCCAGGGCTATACAGAGAAACCCTGTCTCGAAAAACCAAAAAAAAACAAAACAAAAAACCAACAACAAAACAACAAACAAACAAACAAACAAAAACAAAAAAAAACCAAAAAACCCCCAAAGAATTATAAGATAAAGACTGTAAAAGTTCTGCTGTGAGGTGGAAGAGAGATGGAGTATGGGGCAGGCTGGGAAAGGAATGGCCAAGACAAACCTTAAGCATCACACACAGGAAAGACAGCTACTGTGAGCAAGCTCTTGCTTACAACACCACTTGTGAGATGTCCACTAGCATAATCAGTCTTTTTTGTTGACCTTGAACTTCTGATCTTCCTGCCTCTACTTCCTGAATGAATTATTAAGACATACACCACCATATATGGTTTGAGGTGTTAGGGATCAAACCCACACCTTCATACAAGCTAGGCAACTGCTTTACCAAGCTACATCCCTAGCCCAGTACCCAGTCACTTAATCAAATACTGACTCCAGTTGGAGTATTCTGTTAATATGTATAATTAACTTACTTAAAATAGGACCTTACATCCATACTGTGGGTTACCTCATCCAATTAGTTGACTAAAGTAAGACCAAAACCTGAGCCAGGACTCGCAGTGCAGACCTGTGACCAGCTACTCAAAAGATTGAGGCAGGGGGATCACAAGTTCAAGACCAGTCTAGGCTACAGAGACTCAGTCTCATAAACAAAACAAAACAAAACAAAACAAAACAAAACAAAACAAAACAAAACAAAAACAAAACTCACCCTAGGACTAGAGATATGGCTCAGTGGATAAAAGCATGTACTGCTCTTCCAGAGGACCCAATTTCAATTCCCAATACCCCCATGGCAGTTTACAACCTTCTGTAACTCTAGAATATCTCATGTCTTCCAGTCCCAGGAGATCTGACTTCTTTTTCTGGTCTCCACAGGCCAAGAGTAACACATGCAGGGAAAACACCCGTACACATGAAATAAATAAATAAAGTTAAAATTCTTAATAATTATCCTAAAACTGGGTGGTGGTAGCAGAGCAGACCTTTAATCCTAGCATTCAGGCAGAAGCAGGCAGACCTCTGTTAGTTCAAGGTTCAGGACAGCCTAACACAGAACAACCTTGTCTCAAATAAACAAAAGAAAACAAAAACAAAAAATCCAACAACAAAAATTTACCCTAAAAAGAGCTAGGAATACAACCCAGTATTTGTCTGGGTGCAAGCCCCAGTATTAGGATGGGGAGAGAGCCAAGGAAGGGGAAGCAAAAGAAAGGGGAAAGAAAGGAGAAGAGGGACAGAAAAAGAGCAGTATGTGGAAAACATGCCTGTAAGGCCAGCACTCTTGAGGCTCAGGTGGGAAGATTAGGAATCAGAGTCCAGCATTGGGTACTAGGGAAGAACCTATCTCAAAAAGAAAGACAAAGAGAAAAAAGATTGAGAAAGAGAAGGAAGAGAAAAGAGAAAGGAGAGGGAAATCAGGGGAATGGAGGCAAAAAAAAACAAAACCAAACTCAAGGTTCTCCAAGAATCAATCCTGTCTCCAACCTGGTGTGCGGGATCCTGCCTCCAGCCTGTAGTCTTGCTCTATGGAGCTGTAACTCAACAGCCCCCACAATCCTGTGAGCAAACACCTAGATAAGACTCTCTAAACTGTCCATACACACATCTTGTTCTTTTTCTAGCAAACCCACATTACTGCACCACCTCTTAAACACCAGGGTACAAAGTACCTTTTCCTGGCATGACAAGGAGACGTGTTCAGGAAAAGTAGAAGGCAGACAGACACTAGGTTACAGGCACTCAAACACAAAATCCAATTCTATACCTACAGATAAGCAACAGTAGCAACAGCCCTACTATGTTTCAAACCTTTCTCCCAGCTTTTCTGGAATAGCCTACGACATGGCCTTCCTTATCCATCACCTCAATTCCTCGATGGTATTCAAAACTGCGGGATGCAAAAACATTCATTCCACTGACTTGGGCTGTAGATAAAAAGAACAAGAAGGAGAAGTCTGAGTTAAAGACAGCAAGGGAACATGTGATGGTGGAACAGCTGCCCTTCTCCTGACTCTCAGATACTCACCTGCTACGGGCAGGGCCACCCAAGCTCTTTCCTGGGGCTGTAGAGTTAGGAACAGAACCTTTACCCACTTGGCCTCTCTGATCCTGACTGCAGCCTGGTAGTAGGTCCCAGAATGAAGTCCATTCTGTGTCCTTTAAGCTCCTTAAGCTCAACTGCTTAAGAATCCCAGGAACCTTGAAATGACTTACTTAACAGTGTTCAACATGGACTGACCATATGTCTGCAACATCACTTGCTCAACTTCAATAACAATCTGGCAATTCTTCAAACTTCTTTGATCCCCAAGCTTAAATGTGGAACAATAAACAGTAAACCTGTAGGCTGGGGAGCTCAAAGTATTCAGCAAATCCAACTAACTCTCTGGAGTCTCTCATTCTATAGTTGGGATCCCTATACTGCCACCTGCTTACTATGCAAAAGGGTATCTATAGAGAAAATATCTCTTCTCAAACCAAAGATTCAGTTTAGGCCAGGGAAACCCAGCAGGCTACAGTGGTACTGTCATAGGTCACAACATGGCCAAGTTACCCCAGGTCTCTAGAGATCAAGTGACCCAGCTACATGCTCCTAGCCCTTCCTGCTTACCAAGAAAGACGATTGGCAAGGTTCTTTTAAGCCAAAAGTTATTCAGGGGATACTTCATTTGAAAGAGATGAGGAATTAACTGGAAAATAAGAAGGAAAAATCATTGCACCTGACCAAAGAATCAGCTGAACCAACACATCAGCAGAGCTAGCACAATCTGGCTCCCACTGCAGGTAGGACTGCAGTCAGCACATTCACACATTTTGTTTTAATTACAACCCTGAGGTAGTTCTTGCTGTGTATTCCAGGAGTAGATGGGACAAAGAGGTTATGTAACCTCTATGATCATAGAGATCGTTTCAGAGCTGGGTTAAAGTCAGACTGGGAAAATGGGATTGTTTGCTTCTAAAGTCTTATTTATGAATCTTGCTGTAGTCTAGACTGACCTTTAACTCATAATCCTACTACCTCAGGCTCCTGAGTGTTGGGATCACAGGCCTATGCAGTATGTCTGACCTGAGGGTCTATAGTTGTTTTCTTTCAATTTTTTTCTGGGACAATTGTAATTGTAATTCTCCTCACTTATTTATTTTTTGTTTCTTGTTTTTTGAGATAGAGTTTCTCTGTATAGCCCTGGCTGTCCTGGAACTCACTCTGTAGACCAGGCTGGCCTCGAACTCAGAAATCCACCTGCCTCTGCCTCCCAAGTGCTGGGATTAAAGGCGTTCGCCACCACTGCTTGCTCTCCTCACTTATAAAAGGGAATATTTCCTACCCATGAAATAATGAACAAGAAATGTTTGTATAAGACACTCTTTAAAGTGTAATTTGAGTGGGTTACATTAAGTGAGTCAAATTAGCTCAGCAAAAGAGTGCTTGCCTAGTATATACAAGGACTTGGGTTTGATCAAATGAGCATTTGCATCATTATATACTTTATTATATACATTATAGCTTAGCTATGTGTCACCCTAGCTCTTAAATAAACTCTAAATTGGATAAATAGCCACTGTAATATAAATGCTACAGAAATATTACTATGCTGAGGGCAAAAATAAGAAAATAAGAAAAAGCATTCATAAATGTTTGGTACAGATATTGTTAATCCAGGGTTAGTTCCCTGGATGCAAAACCCACCATACATATCTAGAAACTTAGACTAGCAGGTGATTACTCTGAGGATACAGGAATACATTGACTCATATTTTCTACTCATACATTCCAAATTTACAGATTAGAACAGAAACACAATTTGTAATTAGAATCAGTTTCTTTCTTTCTTCCTTTCTTTCCCTTTTGTTTTTGTTTTGAGGAATAAAAATGTTTGCACATGTATTCTAGTTAGAATGTCAACTGAGGGACTGTCCAAATCAGATTGGCCTGTGGCCATATCTATAAGAGACTGTCTTGATCAGTGTTTCATGTGGGAGGCCCAGCCCACTGTACCATCACTATCCCTTGGCAGGTGGGCCTGGGCTCTATAAGAAAACTAGGGAAGCATGAGCCAGGGAGCAAGCCAGATAGCAAGCAGTATCTTCCATGGTTCCTGCTGACCTTTATCAGCTGTGAGTGAGTTCCTGAGTCAGAAGTAAAGCTGTGGGGATTAGCAAGGAGTTCTGCCTTCAGGTTCCTGTTTGGAGTTCCTACCCTGCCCTCCTTCAGTGACAGACTATGACCTGGAAATGTAAGATGAAATAAACTCTTTCCTCCTCTAAGTTGCTTTTAGTCAGTGCAACAGAGATGAACTGAAACAACAGGGTACAAAAACACCTACTCCAAAGAAAGTTGAAGACACAAACACCCCTGCTCCCAACAATGTTCTCTCTACTGGTCCATGACTCTAAGGAAAAATGAAAGAACATACATAGTAAGCAGTTATCGTGGTTTTGCTCTGCAAGGATAATTTTTTAAAAACCCAAATTCTATCACAATGGTTACATAACTGGCATTTCCATTGGTGATGTTAAAGGCTGTGGTGTATCCATACAAGCAACCCTACATAAAGAGAAATCAGTGGATCACTTTCTGGTTTCAAGCATAAAAGAACCCTGAAATCATGACATTCAAAGTACTACTACCTGAGTTAAAATGACAGACTTTATTCCAGTGTCTGGCATCAACAACAGAACTACCTTGGAAGAAGAAAACAGAACATACTCATGAGTTGCTGGTGTGGAGGCAGAGCCTGCAGAAACAAAAATAGCTCCCAGATAGTAAATACAGAACTGTGGTCCTAAATGAAAATGGCCCCATAAACTAAGGAAGTGGCATTATTGGAGGTTTGGCCTTGTTGGAGGATGTATATCACTGAGGGGTGGGATTTTAGGTTTCAGAAGCTTAAGCCAGGCCCAGTAGCTCACTATCTCTTCCTGCTGCCTGCAGGTACAGGTGCAGAACTCTCAGCTACCTATTGCACCATGTCTGCTTCCATTCCACCATGATAATGGACTAAACCTCTGAACTATATAAGCCAGCACCAATTAAATATTTTCCTTTATAAGAGCTGTCATGGTCCTGGCACCTGTTCATAGCAATGAAACCCTAAGACACAGGATCAAGGCCCCTAGGGCTGGCATAGTAAGACGTGGACACATAGCAGACACTCAGTGGACAAACCCATGTTGGTGTGCACCTAGCCACTCCTGAACCAGTGGTACCTGAGAGTTTCACCAATACTGTCTCCAAGGCCTACTAGACAGCAGAGCCTCCCAAAAAACCTGCCTTTGCCAGGGAAAGGTAAATATAAGACAAGGGCAGAGGAAGAACAGACAGCATGTGATGGACTTACCCTGTATGTGTGTGTGTGTGTGTGGTGTGTGTGTATGTGTGGTGTGTGTCCCAGTTCCTAGCGAGGAGATGCTTGGGGGTAGACTGGGGTGAGAAAGGTACTATAGTTTGGTCAGAAATATCTCCCAGAGATGCATTAGCTGAATATGAATGGGTTAAGGGCTTGGTCTCCAGCTTGAGGTGACACTGGAAGACAGATCTATAAAGGGATGTCTTCAAGTCACTGGGGACACGCTCTTAGAAGGGACTGTGGAACCCTAGTCACTATTTCTTTTGTCTACTAGGTACCATGAAGTAAATGACCTTGCATCCCAAACTCCAATGTACTACTACTATTCTGTGCTGAATTGCCAAAGACTCAAAAACCAACAGGGCTAAGTGAGCATGGAATGATGCCTCCAAACTATGAGCCAAAATAAACTTTCTGTTTTTTTTCCTCTGCATTAATTTATTTATTGTGAGCATCAGAAAGGTTAGAAGACATCTTGCAGGAGTTAGTTTTCTCTTTCCATTAAGTGGGTCTTGGGGACAAAAACGGGGTTGAGGGCCTTAGCCTGCTGAGCCATCTCACTGGCCCTTAATAAATGTTCCTTTTCTTAAAGATTTAGCTTCATTATTTTTAATTATATGTATATAATTACATATAATTAATGTGGCAGCATGTGTATATGAGTGCAGAGTACCTACAGAGGCCAGAGGCTGGCTTCAGATACCCATGGGACTAGAATTACATACAGGTGTGAACTGCTCAAGTCAGAAGAGCTTTTATCCACTGAGACTCTCTCCAGCTCCACTTCCCTTTAAAAAGATTTATTTTTGTTATCTGTGTGGGTGTATGAAAATTTTGCTTCTATACACTGATTATCTCACGTATTTGTTAAAGTAACAGAAAGCTGATTAACACAGAAACTTCCATTAGGATTGTGGCCAGAAGTATTTCCCAACTCACTGACCTACAGTGCCATGTGTATGGTAGATATTCAAAGAAAGGATGCCTCTGTGACATGGACTTTTGAGAAGTCCAAAGCCTAACTGAGTTAAGTGGAATAGGGGTGTGGGTATAGAAAAAGTAGACAAAAGTCACAGGAGGACCTATAATTATCTGTTAGAGATCTAGAGCTGGAGGGACATACATGCAGTCAGGAACTTACCATGGGTGCTGTTACAGGCAAGAAAGCTGTAGGAAAGAACAGTGTGTTTATTATCATGGTGGACAAGTCCTGAAGGGGCAACATCTCTTGAGAACTTTCTGCAGCCTCCTAAGGACTCAAACATTAGAGGACATTTTCTTTTTCTTAATAAAATAACATCTATAGGGATAGGGAAATGGCTCATTCAGTAAAGTGCTTGTGGCATAAACATGAAGAACTGGGTTCAGATCTCCAGTACCCACATAAAAAGCCAGATATACTCTATACAGGCAGAGAAAGATGAGTCTCTGGAGTTTACTGGTTTATTAGCTTACCCAAATCTATAAGATCTGGGTTTAGTGAGAACCCCTATATCAAGTTTTTTTAAAATGGTAGAGAATAATGTGTGTACACATGCACACACACATGCACACAAACAGAGCTGAGTACATGTGACAGAAAAATTAAGACCAGAGCACAGAAAGACCTACCCGTAAAGATACCTGACAGCTTTTCCAGGCCTTTACCTGAAGGTAAATGATAATGACTCTTGTTCATCTTTCTAGATTTAAAAAAAATGTTCTTTTGAGACAGAGTCTCATGTAGTCTAGGACGCTCCAAACTCCCTATGTAGCTGAGAATGGGCTTAAGCTCCTGATTTTCCTGCCTCCACCTCCAAATGCTAAGATTACAGAACTGTACCATGACATATCAATTTATGTGGTTTGGTACTAGGGATTAAACCCAAGGCTTTGTGCATGCTATGGAGGCAATCTACCAATTGCGCTACATCCCAGTCCTTCAAGTATTTGTGTGTGTGCATGTAAGTGGGTGGGTACATGTGAATGTGTATGAATGTACATGTGGATGTCAGAAGACACATTCAGTGTTTTCTTCAATAGCTCTCTACCTTTTTTAAGATAAAGTTTTACTACCTGGCTGGTCTGGAACTTGCTATGAAGATTAAGCTGGCCTTGAATTCACAGGGATCCACCTGTATTAGCTCCCCAAGTTTTGGGATTAAAGGGATGATGCCACTATACCTAGCTCTACCTTATTTCTGAATCTGGAGCTCACCAATTCTGAGTCCCAGGGATCCTCCAGTCTCTACCTCTCAAGTGCTGGGGTTACATGCTTAGCTTTCTACAAGGGTGCTGGAAATCTGAACTCAGGTCCTCGTGCTTATACAAAAGGTACTAAGCCACTTCCCAGCCCCTCTCAAGTATTCTTTTAAAGCCATGGCTTCCAGAATTTCCACCTCTGTAATCTCTGTAAGGGAAAATAAAGTCAGAAGTTTTTCTGCTACATGCTACACCTTCCCCACCTACTTCTGAACAAGAGAACCAGCTCACCTGCAGGTCGGAGAAGATGGGGTATCAGCTTGCTGCTGTCAGGGTGCACAGTTGACTTCAAAGGGGCAGAAGAAGAGGTTAGTTGGATTACAGATTTTATTATTTATAAAACCAACAATTATAAAGGAGCTGGAAACTTACAAGACTCTTATTCCATGCGTCTTTAATCTAAAGAGAGATAACAAGAAGCATCATATTTTAAAGACGGTTCAACAGCAAAAAGAATCACTTGGCCAGTCTTAATTCCAATTCCTGATGTCACATTTATACTACCACTCAGACAGGGTAGGCTAGAGTAGAGAGACTAGTAAGTCAAAACAAATGTACCAAATGAATCAAATAAGTAAAAAATAAACTAAGAACAAGCTAAGTGATGAACTTTATGAAGAAACTGCCAAGACCATTAGGAAGTCCTAGCATCATGGAGAGGATTGTCATCTAACAGCCCTTCAGTGGGCCTAGAATAGTCCCCTAGCAAAGATAGCATGCAAAGACTTTCCAATGCTATCAGCCCCACCACTTGTCACAGAGCCACCTTAGGTCCAGAGGTTTCAACAAGTTCTTAGAAAAACAAAGCTAATGTGAACTTTCCATGGTTTGTTTTGTTTGAATTTCAAGACAGAGTTTCTCTGTGTAGCCCTGGCTGTTCTGGAACTAGCTCTGTAGACCCAGCCTGCCTGGAACTCAGATCCACTTGCCTTGGCTTGCCAAGTGCTAAGAATAAAGGTGTGTGTCACTACTGGCCAGCTTCCATGGGATGTCTTGAGGGACTAATATTTATGTGTTTGAAAAAACCCTTATGCAGCAAGATAGGTTAAAAAAAAATACTTGGTCTGAGCTCACTGGCAGGAATACAACCCCAAAGCAGGAACAGCGGGGCCACCTCTATGTAAATGGTGGAGGCCCTGCAGCTGCAAAAACATCTCCTGCAGGAGGACCTAATTGAGGACTGCCTGAGACACCACCATTCCTGCAGGAGGATCTAATTGAGGATTGCCTGAGAGACCAAGGATTGCTAGTGCAAATAATGCCAGCCAGTCAGGATCTGCTGTTTAGAAGAGATGCTTTCTTGGAACCAATGGGAGCATGGGTAGAGGATATTAAAGGAGCTTGCAGCATTTCTCACTTGCTCCTGGAGTCTGTGTTGTTGAATCTGTCCCAACTCACTTCTAACCCCTAAGAGCAGGTAGGGTCAGGCAGACAACTGTCTAGGGCACAGGCAACAAAACCCTGCATTAGAACACTGCCTCCAAAGGAATATTGACTCTGAGTTTGCTATGGGCTCCAGGAATTGGCCATATATGAAGAATTAACACTAGTATAAGAGAAACATTGCTCTAGCTGTGTTATGAGATAGAATTCTAACTACACATTTTTGTAAAGTGAATCCCCTGGGCAATATATATACAATGACAGGATTCGTTACCAAACACTACTTCATTTCATTCTGTGCAAGGTAAAACCATGTTGAACCATAAACATCTGTGCACATATAAGCTCATGAGACATACCCCTTGGTTATCCAGGTAGTGTTTGGGTGCATCTTCAGTGGTAAACAACAGCTGTCGTGATTTTTCTATGCTTTTCTGTAAATAGACATCAAGAAATCAGGTAACAATCTCAACATAGTCTGCGTTTATTCTCATCTTTAGAACACAGCCATCAGAACACAGCACTTCAACTCCACACTTGATTTCAAGATATGTTCCTGGGTTTCAATATAATACTAATTCTGTGTGTTGCTCAGAATTAGAGCTTCTGGCTTCCTAGACAGCTCCAGTAGCCCCCACTGAAGCCTCCGACTCCCTGGTTTCTGTTTTTTTTTTTTTTTGTTTTTGGGTTTTTTTTTTTTTGTTTTTTGGAGACAGGGTTTCTCTGTGTAGTTCTGGCTGTCCTGGAACTCACTTTGTAGACCAGGCTGGTCTTGAACTCGGAAATCCGCCTGTCTCTGCCTCCCAAGTGCTGGGATTAAAGGCGTGCGCCACCACCACTCGGCTCGACTCCCTAGTTTCTGAATGTCAACTGCCTTCCTGACCAAAGAGCCCTGGCAATCCCTAACCTCTCACCCACTTCCATGACTAGCTGGTTCAGTTTTGTTCCTTAGCTCTTTTTATTTTTTTTAAATTTTGAGGAAATTACAAAAACTATAAAGAATAATTATACAATAGAATACCTTACCCAGAATTAACAACTATGAAATATCTCATTATACTTGTTTCTAATTTTATTTTATTTTTGAAAACAAACCATTACTCTATCTCACCCCTTCCTCATTCTATCAGAAATACCAGACTATTATGAGTTTAGGGTGTAATCCTCCAGTCCATAGTTAGACTTATGTATATATACTTGGATATATATATACCCACAAATAAATATAGCATTTCATTATAATTTGCGTATGCAATGTACTTTGCACCTCATCTCACAGACATCTGTTTTCTCACTTGTTTACATAGAGTTTTTGCAGTGCTGGGGATGAACCTATAGCTTTGTCCATGATAGGCAGGCAGCGCATCACTGAGCTACATTTCGAGGCTCCTGTTCTCCCATTTAACAACCTTCATACTATGCATTTCCACTAAATAAAATATTGATAACCAGTTCACACTTTTAATGGCTAGTCAGAATTCCACTATATAAAATACCATATTGTGTATTTCCCTACTACTAGGCATTGAAATCCTTTTCTGGCTCTTAAGACAAATAAAGGGGTGAGAGAGGTCTAGAGTGTGAATACTGGTATACCCCTTATGTTCTGTCTCTGAAGAGTTATTATGTATTATGGTGGTAAGGTAACTCCTCTTCATCTCTAACCACAATGATTCAAGTCCTGTCTTTTACTGAGACAGACAGTGATCCTCAGAACTAATGGCCTTGCCTACATATGCTCTCTCTGGCTAGTTACTATTTGGCCACCAAGAGACCACTTGGCACACAAACATCATCACTTGGCTCTGTAGGAAAAGTGCCACCCTGCAAAATATGCCTGGACCCCTAGACTAGAAACTGAGGGAGTCTCCACTCCCTAGCCTTGGGCTGTACTTACATCCCCTTTTCCCGACTCCTTTTTTTCTAAACACCCCATCCAGAGAATTTCTTAACTCTTAGCCTTGGTTAAGACAAGTGACTAGCTATGTCATAGTCTAGTTGGATGGATTTTTGTTTTGAAACAACTCATTATGTAACCCAAGCTGGCTCAAATTCACAATCCTCCCTCAGCCTCTATGGCAAGCAACTGACTCCTGGCTGGAAGACTGGTCTGGATTAACTTTGAATCAGAAGCATCCACCCAGGTATGGTATCCTCTGCTCAATTGACTTATGTTTAACTTATCATTCTTCCAACCCAAAAACTTCACTCAAAAAATACAAAATATAATAATCTACACACATGTATACATACATATATATGGACTATTATTTCGAGTTTCAAAATAAAGCATGAAATTCATTATTTCTTAAAACAAAACCACACTTACAATGGAAATAAACACGTTGACAGGATCTAATAAATCCATCCACTGACAAAATCTTCGAAAAAAGGACTGAAGATGGTGAGAAAGAGACACACCAGAGAGCAAATTAAAAGAAATAAGACTTAACAAGGTAGTCACAGTTCACTTGGGTGGTGAGATACTAAGAATTGTAGATAGTCTTTTACCAAATGTATCTCCTCTAACCACTTGGGATAGAGTTTCCTTTCAGAATTAAAATCTAGAATTTGGGATTTATATTTTCTGTTCATATTCCCGTATGACCTCATGGTAATGACCTACAAACACCTGACTCTTGCCTGGCTTTCTCTGCTGCTATAAGGCTTAACTATAGCAATAAGGCAGGCAACCCAACAAGGGTTCTGCTAGGGTTACAGCTCAGCTCACATGTGAAGGAGGGAGGTGTGTTTTACTCCAACAAGCTACCCATCTTCAAAACAGCTCCAGCCTTAAGTTCTGGATCTCCACAAACAAGGGTGGGCTAAACTTAGTTTAAGATCAAGGCTTCTAACAGTATTTAGAGCCTTGAAGCCCCATGAGGATATGCAATAAGTGCAACTGGGTCAGACTGCCTGCACGAGTTATACACTGGACTTCAAAGTCTTTGTATGTCCCCCCCACCCAACCCCAAAAAAGAAAGAAAAAAGACTAGTAGAATCTATTTTTTTATTACTTGTTGGAACGTTATTTGACATCGGTTGGACTAATTATGTCATTAAGATTAATAGCTGTTTCTTTTAAAACTTTTTTCTTTTTCTTTTTTTTTTCTCGAGACAAGATTTCACTATGTAGCCCTGGCTGTCATGGAACTCACTCTGTAGATAAAACTTTTTAATATGATTACTAGAAACACTACCCAACAGTGACTTCCCGGCCTCTGATCTGCTTAAAGCAGGTTGTATGTGTGGTCTTAATCAGAATGACTGAGTCTCAAGCAAGCCTAGGAAGCCTGGAAGGACTTGTTTTCTCTTCACTGTGCCGCCCAGCAAGGGCAGTCCCACTGAGGACTGGAACTCCTTAGTGAGGCCCTGTCATCAGATGAGAGTGACTTTATGGCCTTCTCCAATCCAGCCTAGGACCTAAGTAAGAGATGCAAGAGCGTTGGCCACTGAAGAGCTTGGGTTTGTTTTCCCTCCCCACTACAGGAACCTGAAGCGGGTTACTCAGTCCAAGACCATCTCTGAGAGGAAAAGTCATGATGACGCAGGGCAGCCTGTCAAGGCCATGCTGCCCAGGCCAGCCTCCCGCCTCCAACACCCGGCCCCGGAGTACTTGACGTTCGGAAATCCAGAAGTGCAGGTTGGGTTCCATTTGGACGGCGGCGCCACTGCGCCCTTGGTATCGCCAGGAAGTGCCTCCTCCACTTCCCCCAGTCCGCGCCGCAGCTCAAGGGGAGGAGCCTGCCGGCGTGTCCCGCCCCCGAACCCGAACGCTCCCCTGCTATAGGCCAAGTCCTCCTTCTTCCGTTCCTCAGTTTAGAAGAATCCGAAGGTTCCGGGTTCAGGGGCGTTCACTCCCACTTCCCGTCTCCACTTATGGAGAAGACCCTCTACCATCACGCCTGCACTTCTGCTTCTTACCAGGCGCACGTTATCCCTGAAACTTGTTGTATACAAAGTTAAGTGTATACGAGTTGGGTCAAGCCAGAGCCAGCTATATAATTTTCATGGTGCAGTGAAAAATAAAAATATCATACCATTTATTAAAAAATTATTGAGAGTTTCAAAAGTATGAAGCAAGTGTGGAGAAGTTGGGTACAGTGTACCAAACCCTCAGCCAGACTGGTTAGGTTTTAATCGGTTTCTTTCTAGCATTGAGTCTGTGATGAAAACTGAAAGGAGAAATTGATTTGGTTGATTAGAATTTCAGTACCGTGGAGAAACTGGAAAGTTATGGCCTAGAGGCGCATTACCTTGCCTAAATTCTGGCCCTCCAGAGCTGCCATTCCTTGCCCACCTCTGTCAGAACTAACTCTCATGACAATAGATAAAATCTTTTAGAATCTATTGATTGATTTGGCAGGCAATTAGCTTCTACTAAATCAAAAAAAGTTAAGGATGGCATCAAAAAGCATCTTGACCTTACGGGAAAGCTTCCTCTGTAGTGATGTACCTGTTTCTCTGATGTACCCACCAATGTATTTTATTTAAAACTTGCCTTATGACTTTCTATGTTCTGTAAAACTATAAAAACTTTACGAAACTGCTTCCACATTGGAACATTAGATTTGGAGTAACCTAAACCTGTGTTCCCAGGCAATTATTACTTAAAATAGCTCCAGAATAAACTTGCTCTTATTTTCTTTAAGATAAGAGTTGTGGGCCGGGCAATGGTGGCCCACACCTTTAATCCCAGCACTTGGGAGGCAGAGGCAGGTGGATTTCTGAGTTCAAGGCCAGCCTGGTCTACAGAGTGAGTTCCAGGACAGCCAGGGCTACACAGAGAAACCCTGTCTTGAAAACAACAACAACAACAACAAAAAGAGTTGTGGTTTTTTTGCATCAACAGGTCAAATCCACTTTGATTGAAAGCCAGATCAAGTACAGAGTCAAATAGGCCTTTCCTGCCATCTCTCATTCCATCTCTCTAGTGTCAGTATAGATGGACTAGTCAGTATGCACTTGAATGTGTGCATAGAGTATGCATGGTATTCAGCAGGACTCCAGAGTCTAGAGCTGGAGCACCGGCACAACACTTAACTACGTGATTCTGGTTATGTCAGTATCTCCAGGTCTATTTTCTCATCTGGAAAAAGGGGTAGAGCCAATCAGACAATGCAATGTGCTAAAGACCATAATGGTACAAGTTATATCTGGGCATAATGGGAATACTGAGGAGGGGTTCTTTTACCCAAACATGGAGAGAACTGCTGAAGGCTATAGCAAAGTAAGCCAGGTCATAGTGAGTCACAGACCCAGTCCAGCTGGCTGTGTTTTACCACATTGGAAGTCAGTTGAAAGAACCAGAATGATCTTTAGGGTAAGTTACTGTCACTCTTTGTGTGTGTGTGTGTGTGTGTGTGTGTGTGTGTGTGTGTGTGTGTGTGTGGTTTTTCGAGACAGGGTTTCTCTGTGTAGCCCTGGTCATTCTGGAATTCACTCTGTAGACCAGGCTGGCCTCAAACTCAGAAATCCGCCTGTCTCTGCCTCCCAAGTGCTGGGATTAAAGGCGCGCGCCACCACCACTCGGCATCACTCTTTTTTTTTTGAGGCAAGATCTCATTTTATACTATAGCCCAGGCTGGGTTTGGTCTTATCTTATACTGTAGCCCAGGCTGGGTTTGGTCTACCTGGATACATACGTGTATGTATATGAACTAAAACGTCCAACAGATATTCCCCACCACATTTAGAATCCACTCCATAGCTTCCCTGAGGGAGTTTGGGTCCCTAACTAAAATAACGAATAGAAGTTTAGATATCAATCTTGCCTGCTAAACTTCAGTTTCCTGAGAGTGGAACCAGCTCTGTGTGAAATGCCCAATAAACAAATATTTGTTGAGTCATCAAAGGAGGAGTGGTGTCCCAGAATAAACTGACCCGACAGTTAATGATGTCAAAAACGCAAATATTTTAATGTTTATTTTTATGCTATACATCCAGCACTTGAAGAAAAAAAATTATTTATGGTGTTTTAGAAAGAAAACCACTGGATTAGACATAGTCCTTCATGATTATACCTCATTAATACTTCAGAACACACAAGGACACTGTGAGTTAATAACTTCAATAAAAAATAATGGGAAATTCAGCATAATTCACAAAAATCCAAGGGGAAATTTCAGGACCTTGATCAGAAGCTTTTACTAAGTGCTGATGCTATGTGCTACTTCATTTCACTAAGTACTGGCACTATGTGCTTGCTACTTCACTGTAGACCAAGGTTCAAGGCAGGCTAAGGGGAAGAATGCTTACCCTCTGAAGACATGATCCAAGAAATGGGGACCAAGCACTCATGGAGAATTGGTTAGCCATCAAGAACTCCTTAGTAAGGACAGCTATGGAAGCAGCTAGCCCCCTTTAGAGAGCCTGAACCTGTCTTAAATTACAAAGCCTGTGCAGTGGTACTTATAAACACAAGTATAATGAGGTTTTGCCATTCTATAAATAATCTTCAGGGCATTGGAAGGATTCCAGCTGGGGCTCTATTTTGGCCCAAGAAGCTTCTGGTAAACAGCAGACATAGGATGGCCTACTGATGGACCTTCTCAAAGTACTCTTTGGAAGCTGTTGGACTTGGCTTGATCTGAAAATTAGAAAAAAAAAATTAAATCGTTTAGGAAGAACTTAATAGTAGCCTCAAAAGTGAGCTCAAAGATCCCAGTTTTTGACTTTGTTTTTATTTTTTAGGACAGGGTTTCTCTGTGTAATAATAGCCCTGGCTGTCCTAGAATTCACTTTGTAGACCAGGCTAGCTTCTAACTCAAAATGGTTCACCTGCCTCTTCATCTAGATAAAAGGTGTGTGCTACCATATCTGGCCCAAGCTTTCAGTCTTAAACTAAACTAAAATTTCTTCACTTTTGAAGATTAGCCTACAACTGTCCACCTAAGTGTCACCCACCCACACTCAGCCAGCATTTCTGTAGATTGATAGATTACCCTTGAGGCAGAGAAGACCTGGAGTTGGGGTGTGGCACTCTGAGGAAAATGACATACCGTAGGAGACTCTGGTGTCCAGTTGGCTGGGCAGACTTCTCCATGGGTCTCCACAAACTGGAATGCCTTTACCAAACGGAGTGTTTCTTCTACACTGCGGCCCACTGGAAGGTCGTTGACACTCAAGTGCTTGACGACACCATTAGGGTCAATAATGAAGAGACCTCTGCACAGAATTTATCCTCATTAACAGGACCAACAAGTCATTTCTGTTCTTTTATGTCTTTAGTTCTCCTTTTAGTAAATTCATCAAGTTGTCAAATGCTTTAAAATGGAGAGTTTTAGGGACTGAAGAGACTACTTAGCAATTAATAGTTTGTGCTGTCTATCCTGAGGACCTGAATTTAGTTCCTAGAACCCATGTAGGGGACCCACACAACTGCCTTTAACTCCTGCTCCAGGGGATCTGACATCCTTCTGTAGCCTCCAAGGGCAAGTACTCTAATGTACATACTTTTACAGAGTTACACACACATAATTAAAAATAAATCTTAGAAAAAGAAAAGCCAACCTGGAATTAACATTATAAAAAAGTTTATCACCTTTTAGTAATGAGAGATGCTCTGATAATACAAGGCCACTATCAAAAGCATACATTAATTATGGGAACATTGCAAAACTGTATCCCCAATATGATATGATACCTAAAAAGAATAGACTAGTGACAGTAAAGACCTTTACACAGTGATTTAACACAAATTCTTTGGACTCCTAAATCAGACTCTGGTAATGTGAGCACATATATGTAAGAGGGAGAGATTAAGTATCTAAAACTTCCTTTAAAAAAAAAAAAAAAAAAGATTAGCCGGGCAGTGGCGGCGCACACCTTTAATCCCAGCACTTGGGAGGCAGAGGCAAGTGGATTTCTGAGTTCCAGGCCAGCCTGGTCTACAGAGTGAGTTCCAGGACAGCCAGGGTTATACAGAGAAACCCTATCTCGAAAAACCATACATACATACATACATACATACATACAAATACTGATACCACGGAGTCCAGAAGAAGGTGCTGGATTCTCTGGAGCTGTAATGTGGGTCCTGAAAATCAAACTCTGATCCTCTGTAACAGCAGTGAGCACTCTTAACTGCTAAGTCATCTTTACAACACCTCACAATCTCTTTTGTTTTTCCTTTGAGACAGGGTTTTCCTACAAAGTCCTGTCATTACTATGTAGACAGACCAGGCTGGCCTAGAACTCAGAAATCTACCTCTGCCTCCAGAGTGCTTGGATTAAAAGTGTTTACCACATCAAGCTTTATCCCTCTCAACAAGATACAGGGACTTCAAGTGTCAACTACATAGGGAAAGGGCAAAGTACAGAGAGGCTTCTCCTTCCTCTGCCTGATGTTTGGAATCCAAGCTTTCAGCCTGACTCTGTATCTCTTGTGTTTGGTCTCTGAGAGAACCAGATGCAGTCCCTAGAGAGAAGTACAGGCAGACCTGGGAAAGAACAGGGCACACACACTCTACGTATCAGCTAGACTCAACTTTCTTTCCCCTCTTAGCCCCAGAAGGAAACCAGGAGGAGTTTATAAAATCAGAAAACCCACGAGAAGGAAGCATAA